GCTATATTATTCAGAGAATTTTTCTATTTCTTTTTTTCTCTTATTAGGATATTGATACTTTTTTTGTGTGTTTCATAGCCATATTGATTTTTGTTTTAGAGGATTTTATATGGCATTTTTGAGTTTTCTAAGGGACATTCTGCAATTACTGACCATTTTCCATTTTACTCTCCAACAACTAGTCCATTATTTCTGATTTATGTCTTACTGCACTAGCTAGAAATTCTAAAATAGTGTGGAATAAGATGATCAGGAATTCCATCTCCCCCTTGATTTTAGTATGAGTTCTGGTTTTATAATTAATATTATATGATGTCTGTCTTCTCAGATATAATTTTTTATGATAAGGAAGTATCTTTCCTTCATTTATTTTCCTTAAGATTTTATTTATTAGGAAAGGGCTCTTTTTCAAATTCTTAATTACTATTTCTCAGTTGGCTAGAGTGTGACTTTAAGTAATTTTTTTCAAGAAGGGCATTGGTGCTATAATCTATAAATTTTTGAATAACTGAGAATTCTGCTGCCATCACACATAAACATCTAGGAGGGCATATAATTCTTAGGTTACAAGTTTTCTCCTTAATATGCAATAGATGGGTAGGAACGCAAAATCGTACAGCCACTTTGGGAAGTGCTTTGGCAGTTCATTAAAAAGTTAAATATACACCTACCGTATAACCCAGCCATCCCACTCCTACATATCTACCTAAGAGAAATGGAAATTTATGTTCACACAAAACCCTGTAAATAAAAGTTTATGGCAGCTTTAGTCACAATAGCCCCAAACTGTAAACCACACAGATGTCCTTAAACCATTTCCTACTATGGAAGAGCATGCATCCATAAGAAGGCCCAAACTGCTGGTTCACACAACAACTTGTGTAAATTTTAAATGCATTTTCCTAAGGAAAACAAGACAGAATCAAGTTACTATATGTTGTGTGATTCCATTTTACGTGTCCCTGTTTAAAAAACTAGTGGCTGCCAGTGGTTGGAATGGGAGGAGAGATTATTGATAAAGGGGTAACTCTTGTTTTGGGGGGATGATGAAATTATTCTGTAGGGAACTATATCAGTGGACATGTGACACTATGCATTTGTCCAAACACGTAGAACTGTACATCCCAGAAATGGGATTTTATTGTATGAAGGCAACAACAAAATCAGCATGGCGGGGTGATTTGGAATGCAGACCATGACAAAGGTCTGCAGACCTTTGTCATATACAGTCATGACAGACCATAACTATACTTTCAGTGAATCACATAGTTGCCCTGAAGGCAACAGGGGAGAAAGAAGCTGAGCTAAGAAACTCTGGAAAGCTATGTTTTCACTGAATGCTTTAAGGTTAAAGACAAAAAAACAATTGTTCACTATTACTATTCTATAGTTGGTAATGTGTTCCTCATGCAGAAATGGGTTAGGACATCTAAAACTACTTTTTCAGGATTTTATTTTATTTTTTAGATTTTAAAGGTATTTTAGATGCTTTTAAAGACATTTTATTTATGTTTATATACTAAAGTTGACTTAACAAATAAATTTAGAAAATGGAGTCAGTATTTTCACTGTCAAGACAAAGAAGTTACAAATAAGGGAGAAAGTCTAGAATGAGCTATGTTGTCTTGGATTAAAATTGGAGATATCAGTATGAACTTAAAAAAACACACACACATAAATGATACCGAAATATACTTGTGCATGAGCTAGTATCCATGCATGTATTTCCTGGGTCTGTCTACTGAAAGGGGCTGCAAAGTACCCCGGCTGCAATAAGTACAGCCAGCACCAAAACTTGGCTTCTAATTCCACTCCAAATAGAAAAAGCAGGATTGTGCAGAAACTGCTGATTCTAGGGCTGGGGCAGGGAAAACACAATAATAGTCTGGAGCATCAGAAAATAAGGTGGTGAAAATAAAGTTGGGGTGAAGAAAAAAAAGGGCATGAGAGCCAGCCTGGAAAAGTTGCCAGTTACCAAAGTTAGAACAGCATGAGCAACAAGATATATAACAATGACATTACTTTATATAAATGCAAATAAATAAATTACTGGTAAATGGGGAAGAAGTGACAATTTTTCATTCAATAACAGCTCCAATTAGTAAACATGAAGGAATGAGGTAAACAAATCCTTAAAGCACCACAGTAATAATTTCCACACCATGGGTGTTAAAATTAGTGGTGAAAGTTAATGTAAAAATAGGGCATTTGCACAAGATCAAAGCAATCCTCCAAAATATTTAGTAATTATAAAGGAAAAATAGTAAAAACAGTAGAGAATCCTAACAAGCACTAGTTTAGCCAAGTGACCAAGCATCAGCACTGATGACATACTCACTTTGTTTAATCCCTGACCCAACACACTGAGCAGGGCACTGGCCTCTAGGTTCCCTTCTCCCTCATTCACAGTCTTAATCTAATCTTGAACAATCATCAGACCACCCCAACAGGAGGCACAGCCTATAAAATAACTGACCACACCCTTCAAAAATGTCAAGGTCATGAAGGACAAAGATTCAGGAACTACCACAGACAGGAGATAAGGAGACAGGACAACTAAATGTAAATAACAAAAGGACACTAGCAGAAAAAATGGCGAAATCTAAAAAAGTTCCCTACTTTAGTTAGTAGTGTCCCAGTGTTAATTTCTCCATTTTATTTTTGGTTATATAAGATGGTAAACATAAGGGGAATCTGGGTGAAAGGTTATGGGAAATCTATGTACTTTTTTTGCTGCTTCTATAAGTCAAAATATAAAAAAGATAGTGCCAAAAAATATTGTAGATGTGCTGTCATTTAAGGCTTCACAGAAGTTGAAGGCCAGCCTAATTTTTGTGCCTTTTTAGGTGTTTTCTTTTTTCCTGCCTGGATACTTTAAACCCATTTCCTCTTACTTGGAATTAAGTTTTATATGTTACTTTGATTTTTCTGTAGTGTCATTTTAACTCTATTTTCCCCCAAGTTATATTCACTTTCATTTAGCCTCATATTGTATCTCATTTTTTTCTCTGTTTTGCCTTACAGGTTGTAACCTAAGGCTTTCTGCAGTTTGTTCACAGAGGCTGTGCCTTACAGTAGGAACTGAGAAAACCATGGTGTTTTAATATTTTTGTCTGGTTCCCATATTAAGCATGTTTCTGTGGCATTTTTTAGGGTAATTTTCACTTTCCCTTCAGCTGGAGCACATATTCACAAGCACCATTTGGTTCATTGGATAATTCACCTTCCAGGTAGGAGAGGTCTGTCTGGATCACTTGCATCATTCTGTGATTCACAGAAAACCATCCACAACAGGTTTGCTGATTGACCTTGAGGCTGTGAGGTTTTTTAAAATCAATTTGAGTGTTTTTACAGTTAATGTTGTGGGTGATTCAAAGAGTTTCATTGGGGGTGGTTAGAGCACATTTTAAATCAGAGCTACCTACCCAAAATATCTACGTTTTTGAAACACCAATTTTAGTAGTATCTCCCAACGTGTTTCTGTTGAGAAAGAATATTTGCACTGTAAGCATTATATCTAGAACCCCTATACTCCAGAATCAGAAAAAAAGAATGTGAAGCAATAGTTTATATTTCACAGGAAAATTAAAGCAAGAGATTTGTTACTTCTCCCCAAGAAGAGTTATGAAGTTAGATAGTGGCCTGGAAACCAATGAAGCTGATTACAAAATGAATATTTAAAAGGCCTTCTGATTTAATGTGCTCTTGTTTCCATTCACTTTATTCTTTATAAGCACAGAGCCCTCTGTAAATATTGTTTTAAGGATTATCAGTCTTAATTTTTCAAATTTATCCAAAGGCTATAATTTAAATCATAATATTGGCTTTACAAATGTAAACAATTACTAACCCCCTTTCCTTTATTAGCTAATAAGAATGCCAATGCAATTAGAGTCGATTAAATAATTGCTTTGTTAATCTAATGTATTACTGCTCTAAGACATCCTGTGGCCCATCCAGCCAGTGGGATAGCTAGGAGAGAGCAAAACTCCGTCAATGTAAAGAGAATGGGAAGGAGCATATTGGAAAAACTTGGTCCAACAAAGAGTAAAACATTTATTGAAATTCTGATGCATCAGCTTCATACTTTATAGTTTAACCACAGCAAAAGATGAGAAAGTCCTAAGAGATTTTGAAGCTTGTCATTTGATTTAGATGACACTTAGTGTGGGACAAATTATGTCTCCAGCTACATTTTAACTAGACTTCTGTCATCCTTCTGCTTTCGAGACACCAGCTGTAGGTAACTGCTTTGTCTCTGTGACCTGAAGTCTAGTTGCATCTTTCAAATGGCTCTTCATTAGTGACTCATCACTGCTGACAGTATGATGTTTAAACTACTGACTACTATATAGAATTCCTTTATGATTCGATTCCTGCTCACAGATGCAGGCTCATCTTCCACCATGTTTCTTCTGTCCTTCCTGTCAGTAAGAACTTCAAATCTCCCTGCAGACTCTGCTGGCTCACATTCATCCTTTGTACATGCCAGAGAACAGCTAAGTATTCCCTGTGAATTACTGATCTTTCAGGATAAAAATGAAAATATCCCCTCTTTGGCCAAGTTTTCTCTATCCACCTCTGTCTCTAGTTTCCTCCTCAGCTTCCACCAGGAAAATTATCCTACTTTTCCTTTATGATAATACTTAGTTCTGTCATACTACTTCTAATGTGACATACCTTGAGAGATTATTTACAATTTTTTTTTAACTTTTGTGTCCCCTACCATGTTATCCTTTGCCTTTTTGAGGGCAGAATGAATCTATTATCACAATAATTTCAGAACCTAGTGAAGTACCAGGTAATACTGCTCAGCAAATATTGGGGGGATGAATGATTAATAGGCAAGTAGCACAGCGGTCTCTCTGGGAGGGTGCAGAACAGGTTCTCAGTCATCATAGCTGTCATCTCACTCCTGCTCTGCCCCAAGTGTTTTTGTGGACCTGCACACAGAAGAGCAAGAAAGAGAATTTTTTTTGTTTTTATTTTTTCTGACCCAGGTTCAGACTATACCAAAAGTACATTCAGAGGCTGCTCCTTTGGAAAGATGGATATTAAGGGTGGAAGGAAGGAAAGGAGAAAGCCCAGAGCAGGTAGGATTACCATGCATTGGATTCTATGTTATCCCTTCCATATATATTATCTCATTTAATTCCAAAACAAGTACAGCAAATCCTCAAATAATATCATTTCATTTTAGCATTGATAGGATAGCATAGGAACTTCACTCTTATTTATATATTTAGCCTGTGGTAAACTTGTTTTATTACATATCATTTGTTGTTTTTTTAAAATATATTTTATTGATTATGCCATTACAGTTGTTCTATTTCCCCCCTTCATTTCCCTCCACCCTGCACACCACTCCCCCACCCCCCCTTTAGTTCATGTCCATGTGTCACAAGTTCTTTGGATGGATTCTACATTTCCCATACTATTCTTGCCCTGCCCCCTATTTTCTACCTACTGTCTATGCTACTTATTTTCTGTACCTTCTCTCCCCTTCTCCTTCTCCCACTCTCCTGTTGCTAACCTTCCATGTGATCTCCATTTCTATGGTTCTCCTCCTGATCCAGCTGTCCTCTTAGTTTGCTTTTGTTTTAGGTGTGGTTCTTAATAACTGTGAGTTTGCTGTCCTTTCACTGTTCACCTTTTTTATCTTCTTTTTCTTAGATAAGCCCCTTTAACATTTCATATAATAAGGGCTTGGTGATGATGAACTCCTTGAATTTGATCCTATCTGAGAAGTACTTTATCTGCCCTTCCATTCTAAATGAAAACTTTGCTGGATAGAGTAATCTTGGATGTAGGTCTTTGGATTTCATGACTTGGAATACTTCCTTCCAGCCCCTTCTTGCCTGTAAGGTCTCCTTTGAGAAATCCACTGACAGTCTGATGGGCACTCCTTTGTAGGTGACTGTCCTCTTATCTCTTGCTGCTTCTAGAATTCTCTCCTTCATTTTAATCTTGGCTAATATAATTATGATGTGCCTTGATGTGTTCCTTCTTGGGACCAACTTCTTTGGGACTCTCTGAGCTTCCTGGATTTCCTGGAAATCTATTGCCTTTGCCAGATTGGGGAAATTCTCATTTTCTTTAAAGTCACAGAACCTACCAACAACATTGAGGACTTACTGTATTCAGAGGAAATTTTATTATCCCCATATTTATAGTTAAGGAAACTGGGTCCTTTATGTAATTTGTACTAGGCCACACAGCTGACCATTGATCAAGCTGGAATTTAAATTTGAGTTGGCTCATTCAAAACTTGGTGCTCTTGGAATATGGTAATTAAAGAGCTTTTAGTTCTACAAAAAACTATAATGACCCATTCTGTGAGTATCCTAAACTTGATGCAATGTTGTTTTTCAACTTTAAACAATAACCTTTGGAAATATATGCCTATTATAAATATTTATCATTCTTAGCTTTATTTAGTAGTCATTTATCTATAAGCATTTATTGGAATTTCCTGCGGGCCAAACACCAAGCTGAACACATAGTACACAAGCATGTCTAAAAGGTAGGTTAAGAATAGTATGGAAAATGGAGAAGTCAAAGAACTTATATACATGACCCATGGATATGAACTAAGGTGGGGGGAATGGTAGAGGGAGGGGGGTGCAGGGCAGAGGGGAATAAAAAAGAGCAAAAAATGGGACAACTGTAATAGCATAATCAATAACATATTTAAGTACTTAACACATTAAAAATGAAAATAAGTAAAACACAGCCCCGGGACTTAAGTAGTTCTTTTGGCATTTTCTTAGAAGCATTCTCATTCTGCAAGCCCACTGGCCATCCCATTCATGGTTTCTCTGTTTTTTCTTCTGCCTTTAAACAAATTAACTCACATCAATATATACCTCATACTAATTATATTAGAATGTTTCATCTGCTTTCTGCTCTTAGTCTAAAAGGAAGGATCAGACTTTTATCTTTTCCATAGTCAATAAACTCTCTAATTCTTTTTCTTCAACTCCCATTCCTTACCCCCTCCACGTTGGCAGCCATCAGATTCTTCTTTATATTTTAGGTCAGTTTCTGTTTTGTATTGTTCATCTATTTTGTGTTTTTAAGATTGCACATATAAGTGGGATTATATAGTATTTGTCTATGTTGGGCTTATTCCACTTAGCATAATACCCTCTAGGCCCATCCATATTGTAATGAATGGCAAGGTTTCATTCTTTTTCATTACCAAATAATATTCTATTGTGTATATATACATGCCACATTTTCTTTACCCATTTATTTATTGATAGACATTTAGGTTGCTTCCATATCTTGGCAATTACTACTATTGCTGCAATGAACATATAAATATATATATTTATATATCTTTTTCAATTAGTGTTTCTGTTTTCTTCAGTTAAATACCCAGAAGTATAATTGCTGGATCATATGGCAGCTTTATTTTTAAGTTTTTGAAGAATTTCCATACTGTTTTTCATAGTGGCTGCACTAATTTATAATCCTACCAACAGTGCACAAGAGTTCCATTTTCTCTGCACCCTAGCCAACATTTACTACTCATTGATTTATTGATGATAGCCATTCTGACAGATGATATCTCATTATGGTTTTAATTTGCATTTTCCTGATGATTAGTGATGCTGAGCATCTTTTTGTATGTTTGTTGGTCATCTGTATGTCCTCTTTGGAGAAAAGTATGTTCAGGTCCTCTGCCCATTTTTTAATTGGATCATTTTTTGATGTTAAATTGTGTGAGTTCTTTATATATTTTGGATGTTAAGCCTTTATAGGATGTTTTATTGGCAAATATAGTTTCCCTTTCAATAAGTTGTATTTTTGTTTTGTTGATAGTTTTCTTCACTATGCAAAAACTTCCCATTTGTTTATTTTTTTCTTTAGTTTCCATGTGCAAGGCCATATATCCAAAAAGATAGTTTTAGGAGAGATGTCAGAGTTTATTGCCTCTGTTTTCTTCTAGGAGTCTTATGGTTTCAGGCTAACATTTAAGTCTTTAATCCATTTTGATTTTATTTTTTGCATGTGTCTGCTCAGTATTTCCAACATCACTTATTGAGGAGACTATATTTACCTTGTTGTACATCCTTGCCTCCTTTGTTGTAGATTAATTGACATATAAAGAAGGATTTATTTTTAGGCTTTCTATTTTACTTCATTGATTTATATGTTCTCATGCCAGTACCATGCTGTTTTGATTATTGTAGCTTCATACCATAGTTTGATATCAGGTTGCATGATACCTCCCACTTTGTTCTTTATCAAGATTTCTTTGGCTATTTGACATTTTTTGTGATTTTTATGTAAATTTTAGGATTAGCTGTTTTAATTCTGAGAAGAATTAGTATATCTAATTCTTTGGTATTTTATTGGGATTCCATTGAATCTGTATATTACTTGAGGTAAAAAGGACATTTTAACAATATTAATTCTTCCAATCTATGAGCAAAGCATATTCCTTCATTTGTTTGTATCTTTTCTATTTCTTTTATAAAGTCTTATAATTTTCAGAGTACAGACCTTTAACTGCCTTGTTTAAATATATTCCTAGGTGTTTTATGCTTTTTAAAGCAATTATACTTGGGACTGTTTTCTTAATTTCGTCATATCACTTGTTATTGGTCTATCGAAATGCAACAGATTTCTGTATACTGATTCTGTATCCTGCAGCCTTAGAACCATAAAACCATTAGAAATATTATTATTTCTAATGGTTTTATGTTGAAATCTTTAGGCTTTTCTATATACAGTATTATGTCATCTGCAAATATAAGAGTTTTATTTATTTCTTCCAATTTGGATACCTTTCATTTCTTTCTCTTGTCTGATTTCTGTGACTATGACCTCAAGTACTATGTTGAATCAAAGTGCTGATAAAGGCCATCCTTGTCTTAGGTCTGACCTTAACAGGAAAGGCTTTCAGCATTTCACCATTGAGTATGATATTGCTATGGGTTTGCCATATATGGCTTTTATTATGTTGATATATTCTCCTTATATACCTAGTTTGTAAGAGTTTTTATTATAAAGCAATGTTGTATTTTTTCAAATGATTTTTGGCATCTACTGACATAATCATGTGGTTTTTATCATTTATTATTTTATTTCATTATCACATTCATTGATTTATGGATGTCAGACCATTCTTGTATCCCTGGATGAACCCCACTTGGTCAATGTGTAATTCTTTTAAATGTATTGTACAATCTGGTTTGCTAAAAATTTGTTAAGAACTTTTGCATCCATGTTCATCAAGGATCTCAGCCTGTAATTTTCTTTTTTGTAATATCTTTTTATTTAGTTTTGGCATCAGAGTAATGCTGGTTTCACAAAAATATTTGAAAAAACTTCTTCACTTTTAATTTTTGAGGTAGTTTAAGAATTCTTTGAAAATTTGGTAAAATTCACCTGTGAAGCCATCTGGATCTAGACTTTCATTTGTTGGGAGTTTTTTGATTACTACTTCAGTTTTTTTCTAGATATTGGTCTGTTTAGATTATGTATTTTTCCTGGCTCAGTCTTAGAAGGTTATATACTTCTAAAAATATATTCATTTCTTTTATATTATCAAATTTCTTGGCATATAATTTTTATATTATTATTTAATGTTGGGTGGGTTTTTTGTATTTTTGTGGTGTCAGTTGTAACTTCATTTTCATTTATGATTTTGTTCATTTGGCCTCTTTTTTCCTTGATGAGTTTGACTAAAGGTTTATTTATTTGTCTTTTCTGAGAACCAACTCTTATTGATCTTATCTATTGCTTTTTAAATATCTATTCCATTTATTAACTTTCTGAACTTATTTTCTTCCTTCATTTGACTTTGGGTTTTGTTTGTTCTTCTTCTAGTTTCTTTACATGTAGCATTAGATTGTTCATTTTGGATTTTTCTTGTTCTTAGGGTGGGCCTGCATAGCAATGAACTTCTCTCTTAGAGTTGCTTTTGTTGTATCCCAAAAGTTTTGAAAAGTTTTGTTTTCATTTTTAATTAGTCCACGATAGTTTTTGATTTCTTGTTTGAGTTCCTTTTTGATCCATTGGCTGTTTAGTTGCATGTTGCTTAGTCTCCATATATTTGTGTTTTTTCTTATTTTCTTCCAAT